CTTTTTCTGCATCTATAAAGTTCTTATTTTTGGCTCTATTGATATGGTGGATTACATTTATTTATATGCATATGTTAAACCATCCCTGCACTCCTGGGATGAATCCCACTTGGTCATGATGTATAATCTTCTTGATGATTTGCTGCATTCTGTTCACCAAAATTTTATTGAAAATTTTTGCATCTATGTTCATTAGGGAGACTGGCCTATAGTTCTCTTTTTTAGTTGGGTCTTTCTCAGGTTTTGATATTAGCATAATGTTTGCTTCCAGGAATGAGTTAGGGAGGACTATTTCCCTTTCAATTTCATTGAAGAGTTTGAGGAGTATCGGCATTAAATCTTCTTTGAATATCTTGTAGAATTCTGCAGTGAATTTATCTGGACCTGGCCTTTTCTTTGTTGGCAGGGATTTAATTACATTTTCAATTTCATTAACTGACATTGGGTTATTCAGCAATTTTACATGTTCTTGACCCAGCTTTGGCACTCCCTGTTTTAATGGAAACTCCCAGCCTTATGTATTTACTCCACAAAGATACATAAAGTGCACATATCACATGGCTGAACCCAAAGCCCTGTTAATCATTATGACAATAATTATTTTTAAAAATATGGCTTTCAACTCAGGATTTAACGCCCACATTCCACACTTCTCCTTCACCTCTTTTACTTGTAGAAGGTTTGAAAGGTAATGGAAATAATAACAGTAGCCATTTTTAGCAGGTATTTCTCTACATTTTTAAAGCATCAACTTGTTTTATTGTGATTACTGCAAAACAATTCTCAAATTTCTGGTTAGAAAGTGAAAATTTTTTTAAAAAATGAGTATGAGGTAAAAAGCTGAAGATCAATAGAGTGCCAAGTAGGGAGAATCTGTCCTCAATGGTGAACACTGCTTTGAGAGTTCACGTCAGCACGCATAGGACAGCTGGTACTTACAGCTCATCTCACGAGTAAACCGAGCTCCTGGCCAAGTTCTCATGTCCCAAGGTCAGCCTGGCTCTGTGCCCTACCAGGCAGAGGTGTTACTGCACCTTTCATATTAAGGATGAGGAGATTTAAGCTCAGAAAGAGAAAGGTCAGTTTCTGAATAATAGATCTGATAAGTATTTGGACAGAAATTTCAACCAAGGTCCAGAGAGAGTCAGAATCATTCCTGAAGTTGGCCAACATCTGATGCTAAGCCAAAAGAGCATGCCAGGCCACCAGTAATATTTGAAATACACCAACCACGTAACACTGCACATGTCATGGCAGGCAAATGAACTACAGCCTGGAGGGCCACACAGGAGTCGAACAGTTCACGAGTCTTAGGCCCCTTTCCTCAGATGGTGGCAGAGATGGACACAGCTGAATGGCCCAGAAGCCAAAAGTGGTTACTATCTGGCCCTTAAAGATCTCTCTGACTCAGCAATTCAGAGGCAAAGAGAGCAAAGGGTGCTGCCTTCAGAGTAGCAGGATGAGCTGGGCCATGGGTTGCCTCCCTTGCAGTCACTGAAACAGTTCATGAATTCCCATTCTCAGAGACTCTGGGCTGGATGTGAAAGAAAATAAATAAATTAGTCTGCACTTCCAGGGATTTTGAAGATGGGGTTAATCTTAGCAACTCTTCCTGTGGTGTTACTGACTCCAAACAAATGTGAAGCTCTGGGTGGTTACCGGACTCAGTCAGTTGCCCTCTTCCCTGGTTAGGACACAGGGCAGATGCTTGTTAAAAGAATTAAAGAAATATCCCTTCTACAATAATCTGGGTTAGAAATAAACATTTTAGAAAAGATGTTGCCAAGCTTATCATCCTTTAGCCTTTGTACGAGATTTAGGTTCAAATCCTGGCTCATCCTAACAGCTATTTCAGCTTGGAAAATTTACTTCCTCTAAGACTCTGAGGATATACCATGCTCGGTTCTTGTGCTTTTGTGTTTAAGTCTCCAGTCAACAGCAGAACAAAGCTATGCAGGGATGCTGCATTTGTGTCTCTTAGAAACACACTGCACACCGCAATCTCTCTCGTGAAAGGAGAGATCAGCTGGGAAGCAGCTGGAGCTAGACCACTACTTGTATTTTCCCTAACACAAAGGCTTGTCTTAAGCTATTCTATAAAGATTGATCTTAATATTGTGGAGAAAAACCAGCCCACAGAATCACAGAGGCCAGGTGTGAAATGGTGGATGAGTTTATTGTCTGTAACAGAGGAGAAAACCAGGGTGGGGCCTGCACCAAGGGCACTGCTGACTCTGGAACTACTGTAATTGTTTCTTGATTCAGCCAGCTCCTGGGTTTGGTCACCAGGGCTCACTTACACGTTTCTCGTCCTTGAATACTCAGCTCAGACCTGTATGGAGACCTCTGCTGGCCTCCATATTCACCTACTTACCCTCATGCAATTTTCTGTGTCTAACAGTGTATTTGCCTAAACTATTGGATTCTCATGTGCTTCACTCCTGCATAGACAAAAAGCTCCACTCTGGACACCTTCTATTATCCCTCCAATTCTCTCTCATATTCTAGAAGCTTACACAATGCCCACCACATGCCAGACACTGTCTTATACATCTTTCACTATTTCATTCTTACACTATATTTTGAAGATAAACATTTTTATTCTAAATTTTTAAGTGAAGAAAATAGGCACTATGTTTAAGGAGCATGCCCAAGATCATTTAATGGCTTAGGGCAGAGCCAGGAAGTCCTGACCCCTCTCAGCCACACTACCCTGATGCACGAGTTAGCAGCAGTGTTTGGCTCCTCCATCCAAATCCACATGAACATCTGGCCTTCGAGGAAAAAGAACAACCTTAATGTCTCAGAATCCCTAAGAGTTATGGTAGGATTTAGGCAAAATTTACTAAAACACTAGCTTTGAGTTGCCCATGACATGAAATTCCATTTGACAACCAAAGGCCCCTCTTGGCCCAAAGCCCACTACGCACATTATGGAATGGCTTTTGCTCACCTACATACTTCCATCCTGGGAGCAGGAACTTCTGGAGTGCAGCCAGTGTACTTTGCTTTACTTTTTCTTTTTTAAAAGTGATGTACACAGCTTGTACCCTAACATATTGTCCTTGAAATAAAGGATTTTACTTTCTGCCAAAATTCTCCTTGAAGTTGTTCTGATGAGGCAGCAAGAGTCATTAGAAGACACAATTACTGATAGCACCCTCACCCGGGCGGGATTCAACATGGGCAGAACTGTTTTAGTTCCTTATAAAAGCACTGACTCTTGAATATAAAAGGAAGAAAAGCCAACAGAGACCGGAAGTTCTGTTACTAAACTGAACTTGAATAACCTTGTGTTTACAGAACAACTGAGGAGGAGGCATTATGGGGTGGTGGCAGCCAGGTCATCATGTCCCGTGGGAACTGAGCTGAACATGGATTGCTGTGGCCCAAGCAGGACGGAATCTGAGGCCCGAGAGTCATTTCACAGGTCTGGAGGGATCAAAACTCATGGCAAGAAAAAAAAGCAGCTGGGTGTGGTTCAATGATACAGCACTTGCCTAGCTCTGTTACACACCCAGCACCACCACTGGAAAAAAAATCCTACACTGTGATACTGGTGATAACAATACAGATATAATAATATTAAATAGATAAAATAATTTGATGAGCATGCCAAGATATATTTTTTTTAATTTTAAGGAAGTTAAATTGCTTAGTAGTAAAATATGATATACTTATTTAAGTCAGTAAGACTACAGCAGATCTTTGTCTTGTTCACTCATCGATTCCTTCATCCACACATCCCATCAGCTGCCCTCTCTCCCAGCACAATGCCTGAGCTGGAGCAGTCATGGAGGAACCATGAGGTTCAGTCCAAGCTCCTCTCGTAGAAGGCAGCAGGCCTCTTTGCTGAGACCCAGGCTTAAGCTCTGCTGAAGGCTTGCCCTTCTGAGGACTCTGACATGAATACAAAATGAGTTTTGCGCACCATCCCGAGCCCCAGGAGTTTAAGATTATTGTTCCCAGTGGTCAAGGAACTGCCCAGCTTCCAGCCACACTCGACTGGCTACAGCTGAGTTTACCCCTCCTTCCAGCCGACAGAAGTATACTGAGCACAAGCTGCCTAAAGCCCTGCTTGCTAGGCTCCCACCTGACCCTCAGTCCTGCATGCTTTCCCTTGTATGCTTTCTTCCGATGGCTTCCCCTCCTTTTAAGTGGTCTCAACTCTATTTCAGTTATTTGCTCCCAAAGAAAAAGTGCTGGGTGCAGCTGAGCAGGGGAGCTGAGGAAACATCGTGCTGCTCAGATTGCCCCATGAGGCCATAAGGGAGGACAAAAGTAGAAAAGAACAGAGTCTGGGACCCTGGGGAGACAGCAGGCATGGCCAGGCAGAGAGTACCAAGTGAAGGTCACCACTGTACGACTTCAATGGGACAGAGCAGCCCTGGGTCCACTATGATGAGCAACGGTCCAAAAGAAGGTTCTTACTTTAGCACAGGGTCAAGGCTCTAAGCTCACATTGTTACACTCAGAAACCGTTCCTACGCCACAGAGAAATCTGTGAGGACATGAAAACTTTCTCATTTTCGTTCTCAAAATTAATGGTCAAGACAGAACAACTGGATCACAGATCACAGCTTATTACAATGGAGTGTTCTAAAGAAACACACAGCACTTCCTTTCCTTTCTGTATGCTCACCTTTCCTACCTACTAGACTGAACAGAGAAATCATGTGTTTCGTTCTGTTTGTGGCTGATTTTACAGCCCAACTCATTGTTAGGATGGTTTCCATTTGAATTCACAGACTGAAAAGCTTTCCCATGATTCCTATTTCCATAAATTCACTTAGAATGAGCTCATGTTAAATTTCATGTAACATCATTTAAAACACTGAAAGTTAAAACTCAAAAAAATTTGTATCTTCCATTTAAAACTCTATTAAAAGTAATTTTTTGGATTAAAAAACACTACCAGACCCAAATTACCTCATTTGTTTGGAAACAAATTTGTAAGGGGATAAATGGAAAGAAACACCCTTGCAGCTGTCAGCTCATACCTGAACAGGGCCTCCCTTGACAGCCAGATTTCGTTCTGCTTCACAGTTTTCCAGGAGAAGAGCAGCAGAAGCAACACGGTGGATGCAATCAGGGTGGTGGCTCCACAGCGATTCAGCCACGCACAGAGCTTGCTTAGCCCATGCACAAAGAGGATGCAGTAGCCCATGCTGGAAAATGGGACAGAGGGACAGCGTTACTGTAGTGCAAGGATGCTCTGAGCTTCTGATCCCATGTAACTCACTTTTCTCATGCTACAGAAGCTAAGAGAAAATCCTCCACCCTGTACAACATTTCCATGTGAGTTCTCCTAAGGCTCACACCAGCACACTCGGTCATTCTTTAGCATCAGGACAGAAAACAACAGGCTCATGCTGTGGATCCAGTAACTGGATCTTAGCATCAGGAGCATCAGCAGTCCACATGTATGTCATTTGGTTCTAAATGGACTCTCTGGCCCAGACTTGCTCACACCATTGTGTATAGGTTTTTGGCACCATGAGACCAGATCTGGATGTTACAGTGAGCCACTTTCCAGCTTTGTAGGAGACATTCTCTGACATTCAGTATCAGGTTCTAGGCAGAATTCTGGTCCCCAAGAGTGCTGATTTGTTTTCAGGGACAGGCTGCAGACTGTATCTCCCACCCTGGCCAGTCAATGCCCTTCTGCTTTGGAAAATCTACCCAGAAGTCAACTTCTGCATGTCACAGACGAGTTGTCCTGAAAGGGCTCAGTCTGGCTACCTGACAGGCTCAGTGCTCATGCAGTATCTGAGACACATCAGTGCTACATCTCCCGGAGCTCCCAAGAGCTCTACCCTGAGGGAATATGGCCCTCACTCCAGCCCAAAGATACCCTGTGGAAGCATGTCCTGTCTGTTGAACAGGAGCAAAGAACACAAATTTAGTCTGTACCCAGAATTGCTAGGTTCACTTTAGCCAAAATTTGCTACTTTCAAATAATGTGACTACTAATTATCATGGAGTATCTTAAGAATGAGAGATGCTTGCATAAAGCGGTCCTCCATTAGTCAGACATTAATACTGTAAGACCAAAATAAATACAGTCCATGTGCTTGTTCAATTATTTGTCTATGCTTTCTCTTGCAATACTCTAGACCTTTAAGACACACTGAAGAAATAAACAGGTTAGCTCACAAAGAAATGCAATTTAATGAATCAAGTTGATCCTGTAAAAGGAAACAACCAAGTTCTCTCATCTTTAAATATATCCTCTTTGAAAGAATATCACTCTGCAGTCTGTTCTTCTTTCTAAATGTCTATGCATTGGTATGAAGAATAGAAAAAACACCAGAGTCTTTCAGGCTTTAGACTTGCAGTCCCTGGGAATCAGGCAGAGCTCCCTTTCTGTCTCCACGTTCTGTGAGTTGGTTGGTCCAGCTCTGTAAGGCTCTGGGCTCTACTGTTCAGCTACATGAGTCCTCATCCTACTCACTACTGTAGATGTGGGTCTGAGCTAAGGAGACCCATTTCTCCCAGCCCCACCCCAAGCCCTGGATTCGACACCATAGGGACTTTACAGAAGCTGTGATAGAGCAAAGTCCCAGTGCAAACCCCCACTGCTGAACAAGAAACTCCAAATCTCTTCCACCACTCCCGTATTAGATCTTAAAGATGGGCATATCCCTTCAGGTCTTCTGTTTCTGGGTACCAAGAGTATTACTCTGCCCCACCACAGTGGCTTCTCCAGTTTACTTGGCTGCTGACCAACTGTTCCTTTAACCCCAGCCTGACCCCACCCACCATAGGCAGAGTGTTTCTGGTGCCAGATGGGGGTCCTCTAGGTCCTATCTGTTATTTACCAGGTATTTAATGAGCATCCACCATGTACTAACACTATTTTAGGCATCAAGAACATTACCAGAGAACAAGACTGTAGTCCTCATCCTTGTGGAGTGCATATAGGTGGGGAGCAAATAGCTAATAAACAAGTAAAGGAAACATAACAGCATCTTCACAGTCATATGTCACACGGAGAAGTAAAGCAGCCCAGGGAAGACAGTGAACTCTCAACATGGGCTATCAGAGGTTTCACTCACATCTAAACAAAGACCCGCAAGACTGGGGAAATGTGACTTGCATGTAACGCGTGTTTCCAAAGCCAGCTCATTTCCTGCTTTTGCCAACATAAAGAAGAAGCAACATAAAAACCAGCACTGTGTATGAGCCAAGTACTTCTTTCTTTGACCTCAGTATATGCTCACAGCCCTATGGGTCACATTAATATTTAACACAAGAAGACACTGCAGAAGAGAAGGTTAACTGATTTGCCCAATTACGCCATGGATTAGGAGACGCTGGCACTGGAATTTCACACCCCAGGACCACACTCCAACACTGCCCCGCTGTACAGGTTGACACAAGAACCTGCTCTCCATGGTTTTCATACATTATCATAGGGTCACCTACTTTCTTGGAGCTGCCCTGCGACACAACTATGGGAAAGAGGAGGATTCCATCAATTCCCGAGCAGAGGCTAAAAAGTGGTACAAGGTAATAATAATGAAGATAACAACACAAGTAACTCACTAATTTATATACCTGTAGTGTGTTAAGTACTTCCTGAGTGCCAGATACTATGCTTTGTAACAGCCTGCTCAAAAATTCTGTAGGGCCTGAGGCAAGGACAGAACTTTACATATCTTACTACTTTAAAATGTTTAATCCTCAGTATCCTCCATTTCAGTTGTGAGGAAAGTAACATTTACAGGAATTAAGTTGCTCACTGCCCTCAAAGCTGTAATGAGTCAAATCTGAAGACTACACTATAACCCAGAGGTTGGCCAGCCCTTACTGTAAAAGGCTACACAGTAAACATTTCAGGTTTTTAGGTACGGGGATCACAAAGTGTACCCTGAAGTATGATACTTTCATGTGTGACCTGAAGAGGTAGTTTCAAGGTCTCTCTGACCTTCCCTTCCCCATCTCCCTGTTTCTCAATCCTCTCTTCTTTTCTGAAATGCAAGGAAGGGCTCCTCTGATCTTCCTTTATCTACACACAGACTGGATCCACCAAAGAGAAACACAATGGCTTTTAATCTTCTTACAGAAATTTCATTTAGCTAAGGAAGATTAAACTCATCCTGCAGAGGAAAAAACTGAAAAGCAAACATCATACCTACTGCACAAAGAGCTTTTGGCTGGGCTACTTTCTAGTCCCTGGGCCTGTTCACCCCTGTCCCCTGAAATTCCTGCTTCCCTGGAAGCAGCCTCCATCTCCACTTCCCTCTCCTCTTAGAGGGATCTGAGCTTCAGCCATCTGAAGACTCTCCTTCTTGGAGAGTCAGGCTTCATGTGGCGCCTGTGCACACAGCACATCAGTGGATTTGTACACTTCTTCTCCTGTGGATCTGCTTATTCTCAGCCCATTTCAGCAAATTTAACTATTTCAACTTTCAAGGGGCAGAGAGGAGCCCTTTTCATGTCTCCTGGGCTACACTTTTAGTCTTTGTGGTAGGAAAACAGTCATCAAGGCAAGAGAAATGAGTGGATATGTCTATGATCTAATACAGTTATTTCTTTTCTTTCTTTCCTTCCTTCCTTCCTTCCTTTCTTCCTTCCTTCCTCTCTCTCTCTCTTCCTCCAGTTTATTCTCTTTTTTAAATTTTATTTTATTTTATTTTAAAGAGAACAAAACAGAATAAAGCAAATCAAAACAGAACAATGCAAGTGATACAGGACTTCAAAACAAGACAACAGAATATCAACAATGGCTACCAAAATGTCTCTATCTTCTTCAAAACAGCTATCTGCGCAACACAATCAAACAAAACAACAAAGAGATAAACCAATTAAACAAAAGAAAAATTCATTGCAAGATTTTAAAACATGGTGAAGTCCTATAATGCTTTAATGCTATAATGGACTTAATTTTAATTTATTTCATTTCATTTTTTAAATTTGTTTTAAAGAGTGAAAAACAAAACAAAGGAAACAAAAATACAAGCGAAATAAGAAACAAAAATCTCAAATGAACAATGATAAGCTCCTGAAATCTCATTTTGAAAGCCTGTATTTTGGTTTTTTTTTTTTTGTTGTTGTTGTTGTTGTAAAAAAACCTCCAGTTTATTCTTAAAAAACAAAGCAGCAAACCAGACTTCCCAAGTCCTGGGCTACGCTTAGTTTGAGGATTCCTGCTGTGATAAAACGGAGGTGAACACCATGCCCCTCCCCTCAGCTCAGGCCTCTGTATCCAGTAATACTATATTTTTTCTTCAAAAGTCCTTGTATTGACATATGCTTTCAAGAATGTTAGACTATATAAACTAATCTTTACTTAGGTTTGCAAATTTTTTAGACAGAATCACATTTCTTAAAACCTCACAGAGGTTTTAAGAATATCACAGAGCTCAAGATGTTTCTCCACTGTGCAACTTTATCTTTCAACCTCTGCCTTTAATGCAGTTCTCAGCAGCAGGGAGGAGAGACATGTTCTCTTCATTGCTAGGGGCAGGACGAGGGCTCCCACCAACAGCTGAAAAACCACACAAACGAGTTACTTTCCTGCCTTCCCAGGAGAGGAAGCCAGTGCCTAGCTTCCTCTGCTTAGGTCAGTTAGGACACTTTGGGCTGCTGACCACTGATACCCCCTGCCAAGCACACACAGGGGTCTTGCACAGCATAGACACTGGACAGCCCAAGGTGAGTGACTCAGCTCAGCACTAGACGTCTTCCCAAAGTGGGCTCGAGAAACGGCACCATTCCTACACAAACAGACACCTCCTCTCTCTCCTTCATGGCCAGTGGTGTCTCCAGCATGGAATGTGATGGACAGCAGCTCCCAATGCAATGAGTGCTTACACAGCTGAGATACTTCCGTTTCTGCCCTAGACTTCTATGGTGTACAAAGAGAGCTGTCCAGGAACTGCAAACCAAGAATGTCTGCAATTTTGCAATAACATGACAATTAAATCTGCTACTTGAGAACTTTGGTAGCAGCTCATCATTGTGTATCTAGGACAAGTGTACCTTCATGAACAGCACCCAGAGGTGCTCAGGCACTAAAGAACATTCCACTTTGCTCTTCACTTACATTGGGGTCCCTAGATCCCAGGCCATAGACCTGCAGTGGAAGTGGCTTGCTAGGACTGTACAGCATCCCAGGGTGGAAGAATGGGCAAAGGCTCATCTGCATCTGCAGCTGCTCATC